CCTCAGCCTCCTGAGTAGCTGGGACTATAGGCACGCACCACCATGCCCAGCTAACTTTTTGTATTTTTAGTAGAGACGGGGTTTCACCATGTTGACCAGGATGGTCTCGATCTCTTGACCTTGTGATCCACCCGCCTCGGCCTCCCAAAGTGCTGGGATTACAGGCGTGAGCTATCGCGCCTGGCCTTGAGCGCTTTCTTAACATAAGCATTTACACATAAATTTCCCTCTTAGCACTGCTTTAGCTGTATCCCATCAGTTTTGGTATATTGTGCTTTCATTTTTATTTGTTTCGATTTTTTTTTTGAGATGGAGTCTTACTCTGTCTCCCAGGCTGGAGTACAGTGGTATGATCTCAGCTCACTGCAACCTCTACCTCCCAGGTCCAAGCAATTCTCCTGCCTCAGCCTCCTGAGTAGCTGAGATTACAGGCATGCACCACTACATCTGGCTAACTTTTGTATTTTTTTTTTTTGAGACGGAGTTTAGCTCGTTACCCAGGCTGGAGTACAATGGCGCGATCTCGGCTCACCGCAACCTCCGCCTCCTGGGTTCAAGCAATTCTCCTGCCTCAGCCTCCTGAGTAGCTGGGATTACAGGCAAGCGCCACCATGCCCAGCTAATTTTTTGTATTTTTAGTAGAGACGGGGTTTCACCATGTTGACCAGGATGGTCTCGATCTCTTGACCTCGTGATCCACCCGCCTCGGCCTCCCAAAGTGCTGGGATTACAGGCTTGAGCCACCGCGCCCGGCCTAACTTTTGTATTTTTAGTAGAGGTGGGGTTTTGCCATGTTGGCCAGCCTGGTCTGGAACTCCTGACCTCAAGTGATCTGCCCACCTGGGCCTCCCAAAAAGTGCTGGAACTGCAGGAATGAGCCACCATGCCTGGCTTATTTGTTTTTAATTTTTAAATTTCTCTTGTGACTTCTTCTTTGACCTATTGGTTGAGTGTATTGCTAGCGAGGCATGGTGGCTCCCATCTGTAATCCCAGCACTTTGGGAGGCCGAAGCAGGTGGATCACGACGAGGTCAGGAGTTTAAGACCAACTTGACCAACATGATGAAACTCTGTCTAAACTAAAAATACAAAAATTATCCAGGCATGGTGGTGCACACCTATAATCCCAGCTACTCGGGAGGCTGAGGCAGGAGAATTGCCTGAACCCAGGAGGTGAGGAGGCGGAGGTTGCGGTGAGCCGAGATCGCGCCATTGCACTCCAGCCTGGGTAACAAGAGTGAAACTCCGTCTCAAAAAAAAAAAAAAAAAATCCTAATTGTCAGGATCTGTATGTCTTTCCTCTTTGCCTGATCCATTTCCTGGACATAGACTCTTTCAGAATTCTCCTTTGGAAGTATAAGTCTGAAAGAGAGTTGGATGCAAACTCATTCCTTTATTTAATCCTTTTATTTAAACATGGCCCCTTACTTCTGTCCTCATAGTTGCTTGGTATTCTCATGTCCGAGCCTCCATAGTTCAAAGGTGCCCATTTTCTGTTAAGGTGGGTGCACAGTGAGGGAAGGTTCTGGGGATCCTATATCAACCTTCAACCAACCCCTTGTTTTCAGCCCAACCCTGCACACTTGCTATCAGAATTATCTGGCATTTTCTGTTCCTGATCCTTTCCAGGGTTCTACAGTGTCAATGGCTTACTTCTTCCTGACTCTTAGACCCTGTCCTCCACAGGCAGTTAGATTGCAGGTTTTTTTCCCTTTCTCCTGCTAAGTCAGTTACCACTTCATCTTCCAAAATGGTTGCTCTCTGGTCTCTCATTGTTTTCTTTCCTATTATCTGTCCTTGCTGGTTTACGTCTCCTTAGTTTGCTCTACTGACATTTTAGTAGGATTAAAGGAGGGAGTGAAGATTTGCTCGAGTTTGATTTTTGTTTATTTGGAAGTGCCAAGAGCCTAGGATCAGCAGAGAAGGCGAGGGACACTTCTAGCAAGGAAAATCACCTTCTAAAAGTTGAAAGAGAGAACTCATGAGTCATGTGTAGCACATGACAAGATTGGTTTTACAGTTCACATCGGACAGTTGTGGAACAGTGAGGATCTGAGGGTAGGGAGAGAGTAGCCATGTGGAAAGTCTAAAAGGCCAAGGGGAAACTTATACTTAGTAACATATTATATTTTACATTTTATGGCACTGGCACCTATTTTTTTTTTTTTTTTTTTTTTTATAGTTTGGAGACAGGGTCTCATTCTGCCACCTAGGCTTCAGTGCAGTGGTACAATCATAGCTCACTGTAACCTTGACCTCTTGGGCTTAAACGATCCTCCTGCTTCAACGTCCAAAGTAGCTTGGGACCACAGATGCACAACCATACCCAGCTATTTTATTTTTTGTAGAGACATGGTCTTGCTTTGTTCCCCGGGTTGGTCTCTTAACTCCTGGGCTTAAGTGATCCTCCTACCTCAGCCTCCCAAAGTGCTGGGATTACAGGTGTGAACCACTGTGCCCATCCCACTTAATGTTTTCACATGTTTATTCACAGGACAGAGTAAGTTCATGTTTTTATAACTGTTTCATGGCTGGGTTAACTAAGCATAGAAGTGAAGTGACTTTTCCTAGGGTTACAGAGCAAGTAACCAAAAAGAAGTAACTTGCAACTTGGAGAGAGAAGCCTGGTGAAAGCTATCTGAAGATGATCTCTGAAGAGCTATGGTGGATGTGCTGGAGGAGACAGAGAAGCTGAAAGACCCAGGCACCAACCAGGAACTTAGAGGTCCAGCTGATTCTCTGTATCTGCAGATTCTGTATTTGTGAATTCACCCAGTTGCTAAAATTTATTTGAACCCCAAATCACTACTTGTTTCCATGGTCATTTTTGGATGCTCAGAACACTGATAAATTCTGGTTTCCTGATGCCCACATTCCCAGCTGAGGCTGAAGAAGGCTGAAGGCGACACTGTCTTGTTTCAGCAACCAGCCTGGTATAGCATTTTAATGTCATCTTCCCTCCAATTTTTGTCCCTTATCAGTATTTGGCTCCACTATCCATTCAGCTGCTCAAGCCAAAAGAAGCTGCGAGCCATCCTTGATTTCTTTCCTTCCATCCCCCACATTGCATTGACTCTATCAGCAATTTCTCTTAGTTCTACTTCTACTGGATATTTCTTTGTTGTCTCTCAGCGCCATCTCTCCCTTCTATACTCTGCTTTCTACTGCCAGATTCCCTGGCCAACTACTGAATCTCTACCAGTGGTAGGCACCAGTGGGATGGGAGAAGGAAGGTGGGAGAAGGAAGCAGCAGCCACTGCTCTAATCACTGGTGGTGGAAGTACATACCTGTGGTCTTCAGCAGTGCCTGAGTACAGCAGGCACCTCCTCAGTCACTAAAGACCTGGCCACAGCTGTGCACCGCTGCTACCAGTGCTGGCAGTGGCTACCACCACTTAACTTATGTTCCTCAGTACCCTCCATTCTACCTTTTGCTCCTTCAGCCTCTCCAACATTTTTGTAACTGATTTCCCATATTATTATTTATTGAAAAGAGACAAAAGTTTTCCTCTATTGCCCAGGCTTTAGTGCAGTGGTACAATCTCGGCTCACTGCAACCTCCACCTCCTGGGTTCAAGTGATTCTCTTGTCTCAGCCTCCTGAGTAGCTGGAATTACAGGTGCACACCACCACACCCAGCTAATATTTGTATTTTTAGTAGAGATGGGGTTTCACCATGTTGGCCAGGCTGGTCTCAAACTTCTGACCTCAAGTGATCCACCCATCTCAGCCTCCCAATGTGCTAGGATTACAGGCCTGAGCCACTGCACCTGGCCAATTCCCCATATTAAACACCCTTTTTTTTTTTTTTTGAGATGGAGTCTTGCTCTGTTGCCCATACTGGGGTGCAGTGGTGTGATCTCAGCTCACTGCAACCTCTGCCTCCTGAGTTCAAATGATTCTTCTGCCTCAGTCTTTTTATTTTTTTAAAAGATGGTGTTTCACCATGATGACCAGGCTGGTTTTGAACTCCTGACCTCAGGTGATTCACCCACCTCAGCCTCCCAAAGTGCTAGGATTACAGGCATGAGCCACCACGCCCAGACTCTTCTGCCTCACTCTTAGAAGTAGCTGGGACTACAGGCGCACGCCACCACACCCATCTAATCTTTGTATTATTAATAGAGACCGAGTTTCACCACATTGGCCAGGCTGGTCTCGAACTCCTGACCTCATGATCCATCCAGTTCGGCCTCCCAAAGTGCTGAGATTACAGGTGTGAACCACCAAGCCCAGCTAAACATCAACCCTTTGTTAGAAATAACTAGCATGGTTTCAGACTTTCTGACTGGAGCTTGGCTGACATAACTCCAAAATATTTCCTGAATCTGTTCATCTCTACTACTGCCAACCCAGTCACCTCTCACCCAGATTTCTGCAATAGCTATGTTCCCTGAGACCACAACCAGACCAGTCTGGAGCCAGACAGCCTGTGAGGAAGGCAGCATTAACTGGAGAGAGACCCTTAGAAAAATTAAATTCCAGGAGAAAACCTGTTCCCTTCGACTGCCAATCTTGGAGGATTGGGGTTTCATTTTATTTTTATTTATTTATTTATTTATTTTTTTTGAGACGGAGTTTCACTCTTGTTACCCAGGCTGGAGTACAATGGCGCGATCTCGGCTCACCGCAACCTCCGCCTCCTGGGTTCAGGCAATTCTCCTGCTTCAGCCTCCTGAGTAGCTGGGATTACAGGCACGTGCCACCATGCCCAGCTAATTTTTTGTATTTTTAGTAGAGACGGGGTTTCACCATGTTGACCAGGTTGGTCTCAATCTCTCGACCTCGTGATCCACCCGCCTCAGCCTCCCAAAGTGCTGGGATTACAGGCTTGAGCCACCGCGCCCGGCTTGGGGTTTCATTTTATTTCACAAAACTTGTTTCCTTAAACTGCTCTTCATTTAATGCCCATTACTAAGCAAAGTTCCTTGTCTCTGCCTTATGCTCAGTCAGCCTCTTCTCCTTCATATTAAAGAGGAGAGTAATCTGACAATAGTGCATTTGATTTATAAAATCTTTACCCACTAACTTTTAAGAATGAAAAAAAAAAAAAAAAAAAAAAAAAAAAAACAATTGCATCCCTCTCCCAAAAAGGGTATCTTTTAAGCTTTCCTCCCAATCTTAGCTCCATGGGATCTCATCCAATTCTTCTAACTCAAATCCCCACAGTAGTGTAGATGCATTAACTCCCTGGGGACAACAATTTGAGGCAGGCAGGTTCATTAAACAAATGTGTGCAGTGCCCTCTGGCACAGAGGACAGCAGGACATGTACTGCCCTTGCGCCAAGCTGTGGCATAGGCAAGGACATCAGGTGGCTGACAACGATCTGTCCATCTCAGCTGGGGCAGAGGGGCCAGCTCAGCCTTGAAACAGCAGCTTGGGAGGTGTCTCAGCTGAAGGCTAATGTCTCCATGTCTCCAGCTTGGGAGGTGGAGTTGGATGAAGGAGTGAATGCTTTCTTGCCTTCAGCGAGAGCTTTAAAATGCTGCAAGGAAAGAGGAGAATGAACACTGAGTATTAGGGATATGCCAGTTGCTATATTTTAGCAAGAATTAATTTCTTTAATGAACCCCCTTTTATTTCCTTCCTGCTTCCATTCATGAGGCCACTTGGTTCTCCTGAAAGAACAAGTGTCTTCTATAGATCCTCACCTAATTTCACCTAAGGCCCATATCTCCTACTTACCCCACCCTTTTTTTCCTTCCACTTTCCCTTTGAAAACTCCATCCCTGCCTCCTTTGTTCTCCTAATTATGGGAAAAGGCAAAGGTAACTGGGCAGACACATCCTACGTCCCTGGAGGATACAATCACAGCAGGCTCAGAGCAGTAGGGACTGTAGGGATACTCTCTACAGCTTAAGTCAACTCCTGAGGCTTGGCTTACCTGTGAGTTCTTGAATTCTGAGTACAGGGAAAAGAGCAGATGGAGGGACTGGATCCGACTCTTGTAGACAGGGATGTCTAGAATGGCTGAAAGGAAGAAGAACTTCTAGGAACAGAACCGAACTCTGGGAATTAGGGGGCACTTCTGTTGAAGCTAGACAAGCCCCTGCCAGATGGGATGTTACTATGACTTTGGGACTTAAATACTCAGCAGGTAGTCACATAAGCCCAAACACCACCTTTGAGTGCTGCCAAAGAGCACAATGGGCTTAAAAAGAAGGCTGAAACTCAAGATGCTATCTTCCAGAGTAAAGAAGCCTGTCCAAAAGCCTAGAGCATCTCTATCCAGATATGGAGATGAGAAAAGGAAGGAGGAACTCACCACAGACTATGTCAATGTACTCTGCCAGGCTGCAATCAATCTCTGCTGTGGGCAGGCTTACCTGGAAGGGGGATGGGACGGACCAAAGTCAAAAGGCTGGTGTCAGTGGTCCCAGCACCACTCTCTCTCTCTGAAGGAAAAGAGCTTCTAGCATAAGACACATGTTATAGGCTAAAATGTGTTCCCCTAAGATTCAGATATTGAGTTCCTAACTCCCTGTACTTCAGAATGTGACTATATTTGGAGATAACATCTTTAAAGAGATAAGTTAAAACAAGGTCATTAGGGTGGGCCTTAATCCAATATGACTGGTGTCCTTATAGGAAGAGGAAATCAAGACAGAGACATGTAACACAGGGAAGACCATGTGAAGACACAGACAGAAGATAGCCAAGGAGAGAGCCCTCAGAAGAAATCAACCTTGGTTAGGCACGGTGGCTTCATACCTGTAATACCAGCACTGTGGGAGGTTGAGGTGGGCAGATCACCTGAGCCCAGCCTGGGCAACATGGTGAAATTCCATCTCTACCAAAAAAATACAAAAAAATTAGCCAGGTGTGGTGGTATCTGTAGTTCAAGCTACTTGGGAGGCTGGAGTGGGAGGATCGCTTGAGCCCAGCAGGTCAAGGATGCAGTAAAGCGAGATCAAGCCACTGCACTCCAGCCTGGGCATAGAGTAACACCATGTTTCAAAAAAAAAGGGCAAGGAAAGGAAGAAGGCAGGTAGGCAAAGCAAAGCAGAGAGGAAGGAAGGAAGGAAGAAGGGAGGGGGGAAATCAAGAAGGAAGGAAGGAAGGCAAAGCAAAGAGGAAGGAGGGAAGGAGGGAAGGAGGGGAGGAAGTCAACCATGCCAACAAACTGATCTTGGACTACTGGACTGCTAACCTCCAGAACTATGAAATAATAAATTTCTTATGTCTAAGCCACTCAGTCTCTGGCAGCCTTTATTATGGCAGCCTAGCAAAGTAACAAAACATAGTACTTTTTTCCCCTGATCAGTATGGAATTATAAGTAAAATCCACCGCCATACTCTCTTCCTGTGGGAATCTGTGAAAAAAAAAAACAAAACTGATACCAAGTTATGGCCAAGTATTAATAGTTATATATGCATTACTTGGTGTTATAATGCCTAATGATTCCAGGACACCATATGAACAGAGAAAACGGACATGACATCTAACTCAGGTAACAGGCTCTGGATCCAAACAAGTCACGGTGCAAGTTTTTAAACTACCGGTTTTTAAAAACTTCTTTTTTTTTTACAAAAAAATGGGGCACATATCATTCTGCAACTTGCTGCAATTTGCTTTTTTCATTTTTTTTTTTTTTTTTTTTTTTGAGACGGAGTTTCGCTCTCGTTACCCAGGCTGGAGTGCAATGGCACGATCTCGGCTCACCGCAACCTCCGCCTCCTGGGTTCAGGCAATTCTCCTGCCTCAGCCTCCTGAGTAGCTGGGATTACAGGCACGCGCCACCACGCCCAGCTAATTTTTTGTATTTTTAGTGGAGACGGGGTTTCACTATGTTGACCGGGATGGTCTCGATCTCTTGACCTCGTGATCCACCCGTCTCGGCCTCCCAAAGTGCTGGGATTACAGGCTTGAGCCACCGCGCCCGGCCCTGCTTTTTTCATTTTAACAACGTATCACTGCTATTTCTTCGTATTAGAGCAAAATAAGGCCAAATAATATTCCATTGCATGGTATTTCACTGAATGCAATCTAGCTAATTCCCCTAATCAGACATTTTCTCTCAACTACAGCTTCAAAATGCTGTGAGGAAAGAGACTTTCCAAATTCTTTACGTTTACAATCAGTTCCTCATACACACACACAAAATCTGTCTTCATAGAGCTTACATTTTAGCAGGGAAGAACAAAATAACTAAGGTCTATAGTATGTTAGAAGTTACTGAAAAAAAGCAGGGACAGAGGTCAGGGAATGCTGGGGAGCTGGTGCAGTAATTTAAACATGATGGCTAGGAAGCACCTGTTGGTCATCTTTGCTCAGTTTCCTTTTCTTTTTTGATACCTTAAAAATTTGTTTTTAGACAGTCTTGCTCTGTTGCCCAGACTGGGGTCAGTGGTGTGACCTCAGCTCTCTGCAGCTTCTACCTCCTGGGTTCAAGCAGTTCTCCTGTCTCAGCCTCCCAAGTAGCTGGGATTACAGATGTGCACCACCAAGCCTGGCTAATTTTTTTGTGTTTTCAGTGGAGGGAGGGTCTCACCATGTTGGCCAGGCTGGTCTCAAACTCCAGACCTCAGGTGATCTGTCCACCTCAGCCTCCCAAAGTGCTAGGATTACACGCATGAACCATCACGTCCAACTCCTTTTTTTTTTTTTTTTTTTTTTTTGGAGAGAAGAGTCTCCTATTGTTGCCCAGGCTGGTCCTGAACTCCTGGCCTCAAGTGATTGTCCCACCTCGGCCTCCCAAAGTGCTGGGATTACAGGTGTGAACCACGGTGCCTGGCCCACTTTCCTTTTCTTATTGATAAATGAAAGCTCTTTGCTTGGATAGTAATTTTTTCTATTACATATATATAATTTTTCTCAGACTGCCACCATCTTTTAACTTTGTTTATGATGTCTATTGGTATGTAGAACCTTTCATTTCTATGAGTTTAAACTGTCACATTTTCCCCATTATGACATTAAAAAAAAAACAAATAGAGATGGTTCTATGTTGCTCAGATTGGTCTCAAACTCCTGGGCTCAAGCAATCCTCCCATCTTGAGCTCCCACTTCTTAGGACTTTTTTTTTTTTTTTGAAACACAGTCTCTCTCTATTACCCCAGCTGGAGTGCAGTGGTATCACCTCAGCTCAATGCAATCTCTGCCTCCTGGGTTCAGGCGATTCTCCCACCTCAGCCTCCTGAGCAGCTGGGCTTACAGGCACCTGCCACCACACCTGGCTGATTTTTTAATTTTTTTGGTAGAGATGGGGTTTTGCCATGTTGGCTAGGCTGGTCTTGAACTCCTGACCTCAGGTGATCCACCTGCCTCTGCCTCCAAAAGTGCTGGGATTACAGGCATGAGCCATGGCGCATGGCCTAAACCACTGTGCCTGGCCTCATTATGACTTTTAAGTTTCTTTTTTTTTTTTTTTTTGACACAGAGTTTCACTCTTGTTACCCAGGCTGGAGTGCAATGGCGTGATCTCAGCTCACCGCAACCTCTGCCTCCTGGGTTCAGGCAATTCTCCTGCCTCAGCCTCCTGAGTAGCTGGGATTACAGGCACGTGCCACCATGCCCAGCTAATTTTTTGTATTTTTAGTAGAGACGGGGTTTCACTATGTTGACCAGGATGGTCTCGATCTCTTGACCTCGTGATCCACCCGCCTCGGCCTCCCAAAGTGCTGGGATTACAGGCTTGAGCCACCGTGCCTGGCTTAAGTTTCTTATTATACTAAGAAACACCTAACCATCCTAATAGAATTAAATTTCTCTAAGTTATAAGACACCTGAATTTTTTTAAAAAGAATTAGATTTCTACTGTATTTATTTCATTTATTTTTTTCAATCATGCTCCTTCTGTCTCTCCTATGTTTTTATATTACTTACATGGCTTTATTTTTGCATTAACTCTTTTTTTCCCCCCTATTTTTATTTTTATTATTATTTTTTGAGACAGGGTTTCCTTATGTTGCCCAGGCTGGTCTTGGGCTCAAGCAATCTTCATGCCTCAGCCTTCCAAAATGATAGGACTACAGGAATGAGCCATTGTGCCCGACCCACATTAACTCTTTAATTTGTCTGAAATTTACATATATACATATGGTTGAGGCAGAAATCTGGACGGGCCCAGTGTAATCCCAGCACTTTGGGAGGCTGATACGGGCAGATCACAAGGTCAAGAGATCTAGACTATCCCGGCCAACATGGTGAAACCCCATCTCTACCAAAAATATAAAACTTGGCTGGGAGTGGTGGTGGGCACCTGTAGTCTCAGCTATTGGGAGACTAAGGCAGGAGAATCACGTGAACTTGGGAGGTGGAGGTTGCCGTAAGCTGAGATCATGCCACTGCACTCCAGCCTGGTGACAGAGTGAGACTCCGTCTCAAAAAAAAAAAAAAAAAGGGCAGGGTCGGGCGAAGTGGCTCATACCTGTAATCCCAGCACTTTGGGAGGCCAAAGCAGGAGGATTACCTGAGGTCAGGAGTCCAAGACCAGTGTGACCAACATGTAGAAACCCCATCTCTACTAAAACTACAAAAATTAGCCAGGCATGCTGGCACATGCCTGTAATCCCACCTGCTCAGGAGGCTGAGGCAGGAGAATTGCTTGAACCCGGGAGGTGAAGGTTGTGTGCGCCGAGATCGCGCACTGCACTCCAGCCTAGGCAACAAGACTGAAACTGTCTAAAAAAAAAAAAGGCAGAAATCTAATTTAATTTTTTTCAAATAATCAATTGTCTCATTATACCCTCATTCTATCACCATTTAAAAAAGTATCTTTCTGGCCGGGCGCGGTGGCTCAAGCCTGTAATCCCAGCACTTTGGGAGGCCGAGGCGGGTGGATCACGAGGTCGAGAGATCGAGACCATCCTGGTCAACAAGGTGAAACCCCGTCTCTACTAAAAATACAAAAAGTTAGCTGGGCATGGTGGTGCGTGCCTGTAATCCCAGCTACTTAGGAGGCTGAGGCAGGAGAATTGCCTGAGCCCAGGAGGCGGAGGTTGCGGTGAGCCGAGATCGCGCCATTGCACTCCAGCCTGGGTAACAAGAGCGAAACTCCGTCTCAAAAAAAAAAAAAAAAAAAAAAAGTATCTTTCTGATATACCAAATTACCACATATACATGGGTTTCATGTGATACCATTAGGTTAATGAAATCCCAGCACTTTGGGAGGCCAAGACAGGTGGATCACTTAAGGTTAGGATTTCGAGACCAGCCTGGTCAACATGGTGAAACCCTGTCTCTACTAAAAATACAAAAATTAGCTGGGCAAGGTGGCAGGTGCCTGCAATCCGTTACTCAAGAGGCTGAGGCAGGAGAATCACCTGAATCGGGAGGAAGTGCAGGGAGCTGAGTTCATGCCACTGCACTCCAGCCTGAGCGACAGAGTGAGACTTGCTGCAAAAAAAAGATCACTGGGCGCTATGGCTCATGCCTGTAATCTCAGCACTTTGGGAGGCGGAGGCAGGAAGACTGCTTGAGCCCATGAGTTTGAGAACAGCCTGGGCAATAAACCAAACCTCATCTCCAAAAAAAAATTTTAAATTGGCTGAGTGTGGCAGTGCATGCCTGTGGTCACAGGTGGGAGGACTGCTTGAGTCTGGGAGGTAGAGGCTGCAGTGAGCCATGATATCATGCCACTGCACTGCAGCCTGGGAAGAGCAGACCCTGTCTCAAAAAAAAAAAAAAAAAAAAGGTTACCAATAATAATGATGCAGGAAGAGAAAAAACATTGGGCCCTGGAGCGAACACCATCCTTTCTTACCTTACCTCCTGCTATCTTCCACTCACCTTGCCCAAAAGTTCTTCAAACTCCGGGGACCATTCCTGCATCAGTGTGTCAATGTCGGGCATGGGCCTAAAAGTATAGAAGTAAATATGAACAATAAGCATCAACTGATAACATCAGCAACCTCTAGATCAGGATATTCTAGGATGAAGGAGAGGTTTCTGGCCCATTAGGAAGGCTTCAGGAGAACCTAGACTGGGCATACCAAAGTTGCCCAGGGCCTGGGGTTTAGAGGAGCTAGCTAAGTAATACCAGAGAAATTACAATCTTTACGTCTAAAATCTCAGCCAGTAGTTGCCAGGATCCACAGGATCTCGAGTTGATCAAGTATGTTCCCAGCCTCTGGGCCTCTTCTCAGGAGCAATAGTTCACAGGTGGTGAAAGTTACTATGGGTTACTGTTGTAAAGAATGTGGTATTTCTTACCTGGTGTAGTGCACAGTCGCAGGGGGCTTAGAACGATGTAACTCAGAGATGCTCTCAATCCACATGTCAATGGCTCTGGGATTCTTTTCTGCATCTTCCAAGCTCTTTACTTTCATATGTTGCTAGGAAGGTAAGGAGAAAGCCTGGCTGAGGGCACTGAAGTAGCTCTCTTGTCTTTACAGTGTCTCATTATAGCTGCTGTTGTTGCATATTCAAGGTTGCTGATGATAGCAGCTGCCACATGAAATAGCAGCCAAATGAAAGGGACAGGAAACCCTGATAAAATCTGCTGAAGCCAGGCCAGGCATGGGGGCTCACACTTGTAATCCTAGCACCCTGGCAGTCTGAGATAGGAGGATCACTTGAGGCTAGGAGTTCAAGGCCAGCTTGGACAACATGGTGAGAGCTTGTCTGTACTAAAAATAAGAAAATTAGCCAGGCATGGTGGTGTGTGCCTGTAGTCTCAGCTACTTGAAAGGCTGAATGGGAGGATTGCTTGAGCCTGGGCATTTGAGGTTGCAATGAACTAAGATTGCGCCACTGCACTCCAGCCTGGGCAACAGGGCAATATTCTATCTCAAAAAAACAAAACAAAACAAAACAAAAGCCAAGTGCAGTGGCTCACACCTGCAATCCTAGCACTTTGGGAGACTAAGGGAGGAGGATCACTTGAGGTCAGCCTAAGCAACATAGGGAGACCTGTCTCTACAAAATAAAAAAAAATAAAAAAAATAAAAAGCCGGGCGCGGTGGCTCAAGCCTGTAACCCCAGCACTTTGGGAGGCCGAGGCGGGTGGATCACGAGGTCAAAAGATCGAGACCATCCTGGTCAACATGGTGAAACCCCGTCTCTACTTAAAATACAAAAAATTAGCTGAGCATGGTGGCATGTGCCTGTAATCCCAGCTACTCAGGAGGCTGAGGCAGGAGAATTGCCTGAACCCAGGAGGTGGAGGTTGCGGTGAGCGGAGATCACGCCACTGCACACCAGCCTGGGTAACAAGAGTGAAACTCCGTCTCGAAAAAAAAAAAAAAACTAGCCAGGCATGGTGGCATGGACCTGTGGTCCTGCCCACTTGGGAGGCTGAGGTAGCAGGATTGCTTGGGCCCAGGAGGTCGAGGTTACAGTAAGCCACAATCACACCACTGCATTCCAGCCGGGGTGACACAGCAAGACCCTGTCTCAAAAAAAAAAAAAAAAAAAAAGGAATTTACTGAAGCCATGGAAAGGGAGCAGGTCAAAATGGCAGGACGGACCATAATGAAATACCATTTTACACCTACTAGTATGGTTAGAATAAAAAAGATAAACAATAACCGGTGTTGGTGAGGATGCAGAGAAACTGGAACTCTCATTCATTGCTGGTGGCAATGTAACATAGTACAGGCACTTTGGAAAACAGTTTGGAAGTTCCTCAAATGGCTAAACATAGAGTTTCCACATGGCCCAGCAATTCTACTCCTATGTATATACCCAAAATAATGATAATATACACCCACACAAAAACTTCTATACAAATATTCAAAGCAGCATTATTAATAAAAGTGGAGAAAACTGGAGAATGAATAAAGAAAATGTGGTAAATCTATACAGTGGATATTATCCAGCCATAAAAAAGGTGGCTGGGTGTGGTGGCTCACGCCTGTAATTCCCAACACTTTGGGAAGCCGAGGTGGCTGAATCATGAGGCCAGAAATTTAAGACCAGCCTGGCCAAGATGGTGAAACCCTGTCTCTACTAAAAATATAAAAATTAGCTGGGCATGGTGGCGGGTGCCTGTAATCCCAACTACTCAGGAGCCTGAGGCAGGGAACTGCTTGAACTCAGGAGGCAGAGGTTGCATTGAGTCAAGATTGATTGCACCACTGCACTCCAGCCTGGCAACACATCAAGACTCCATCTAAAATAAAAATTTTAGGCTGGGCATGGTGGCTCAAGCCTATAATCCCAGCACTTTTGGAGGCCGAGGCGGGTGGATCACAAGGTCAAGAGATCGAGACCATCCTGGTCAACATGGTGAAACCCCGTCTCTACTAAAAATACAAAAAATTAGCTGGGCATGGTGGCACATGCCTGTAATCCCAGCTACTCAGGAGGCTGAGGCAGGAGAATTGCCTGAACTCAGGAGGCGGAGGTTGCAGTGAGCCGAGATTGTGCCATTGCACTCCAGCCTGGGTAACAAGAGCGAAACTCCGTCTAAAAAAAAAAAAAAAAAAATTTAAAAAAAAGGAATAAAGTCATGACCAGGGTCTAGGAGGAAGTGGGAGAATGAGGAGTGAATACCAATGGGTGTGAAGTTTCTTTTTGAGGTGATAAAATATTAGGTAGTGGTGATGGCTACAAAACTGTGATTATATTAAAACTAATGAGCTGTACAATTTAAAAGGCTGAACTTGCTGCTATATAAAGCTGTCATTTGAAAAATAGGGCTGGCCCAAATTGATAGCCATCTCTTGATAGATGGTAAGTCTACTGTATGAGTGCCAGCAAGGCCCTTGGCCCTCTCCAGCTGGGGCCTACACTAGGCTAGTATCTTACTGTGATGTTGTGCTGCTTAGAATTCTCTGTTAACCAGAGTGAGAGCACTGTAGGGTCTGACTGCTTTGTAGAAGGTTCATCCAATACCAACAAGCCAAGGTTGTCAGGCTTTCCATCAGGACGTGGGACCTGGTTAAGAAAAAGGTAAGAAAGCAGAAAGGAAAATGAGAAGGACCTAACAAGGCCACACCTGTTTCCAATAAGCTAAAGAGGAATAACTCTTCTAGTTGACCATTACTAGTGTTAAAAGCATGTGTATCATGCTGTACTCAATACTATCCAGAAAAAAAATATGATCCATAGCAGCTTAAATATACACCTGTTGTCCCAGATAATTAGGAAGCAAATACATGACAAACGGTTAATATATAATGAGGTATGGCTGGGTGCAGTGGCTCACGCCTGTAATCCCAGCACTTTGGGAGGCCGAGGCGGGTGGATCACGAGGTCAAGAGATCGAGACCATCCTGGTCAACATGGTGAAACCCTGTCTCTACTAAAAAAAATACAAAAAATTAACTGGGCATGGTGGCACGTGCCTATAATCCAAGCTACTCGGGAGGCTGAGGCAGGAGAATTGCCTGAACCTGGGAGGCGGAGGTTGCGGTGAGCCGAGATCGTGCCATTGCACTCCAGCCTGGGTAACGAGCGAAACTCCGTCTCTCCAAAAAAAAAAAAAAAAAAAAAAAAAAAAAATATATATATATATGATGAGATATGTACTACTTAAGAGCAATGAGTATAACTTGGAGTTGAGAGCAAGGTTAAGAACTCCAATGAAACGAACATGTATAGAGGTAGCCAATGCTAGTCAAAGAAGTTAGGGGAACCGTTAAAAGTAATAGGGGCATCAGAAGAAACAGTTAAGGAGTCATTTTCAGGATGTACTGACTATACCTTTAAGAATGCATCAATATCCCCAACAGCTGGGATAAAATCAGGAATGAAAGGCTTCAGTTTGTGGTCCAGGTCAATCAACTGAGGTGTGTACCTAGGAGATATTGTCAAAGGAAGGTAGAGACAGTCAGAGAAAGTTACTTTACTATTCAGGCTAGAAAACATCTAAGAAGAATGACCCTATTTCAGACTAGAGGTAGGAAAGGTTTGGGCCAAGGTAGGGATGGTAGGGTATGGTGGGAAGTCCTAGTACTCACCTACTGATGTACTGGAACAGTCCCTTAATCTCAGCAGAAACTGGCAAATGCTCATAATCTGCAGGGTCATAGGCCCTGGGAAAAGGAAAATAGTTTGTTCGAGGTGACCAAAGAAGAGCAGAGGTGGCAGAGTCCTAGGTGCTGGTGTGTTACTGACTATAGGGACATGATCCTGAACCTAGTTTCTGCCTCTCCAATATCTGCCTTTCTTGGTGGCTTGCAAAGCAACTTTAAGGTTGATTATACTTAACTCTCAATTATCTCTAACTCTAAAGAACAGAGGTGCAGAAAATCTAAAACATAACTTTTTTTTAATGCTAAAATGTAGCCTAAATGGTTTTCCTTTTAATGAAAGGATGACAAGAAAAGGTGGAACAAGAGATTTTAGGGCTGGGCGTGGTAGCTCAACCTGTAATCCCAGCACTTTGGCAGGCTGATGTGGCTAGATCACCTGAGGTCAGGAGTTCAAAACCAGCTTGGCCAATATGGTTGAAACCCCATCTCTACTAAAAATACAAAAATCAGCCGGGTGTGGTGGTGCATGGCTGTAGAACCAGCTATACAGGAGGATGAGGAAGGAGAATCGCTTGAACCTGGGAGGTGGAGGTTCCAGTAAGTCAAGATCACACCACTGCACTCCAGCCTGGGTTACAGAGCAAGACTCGTCTCAAAAAAAAAACCCAAAAAAGAGATTTAAATATCTGACATGAAAATAGGTTTGCACCAAGAAAAAAAGAAATTTTTGGGCCAGGTGCGGTGACTCAAGCCTGTAATCTCAGCACTTTGGGAGGCCGAGGCGGGTGGATCACGAGGTCAAGATCGAGACCATCCTGGTCAACATGGTGAAACCCCGTCTCTACTAAAAATACAAAAAATTAGCTGGGCATGGTGGCGCGCGCCTGTAATCCCAGCTTCTCGGGAGGCTGAGGCAGGAGAATTGCCTGAACCCGGGAGGCGGAGGTTGCAGTGAGCCGAGATCGCGCCATTGCACTCCAGCCTGGGTAACAAGAGCGAAACTCTGTCTCAAAAAAAAACAGAAATTTTTATAGAAGTGATTTTAGCAGTTATTTTTAAATTTAATTAATTTATTTTTGAGACAAGGTCTCACTCTGTTGGCCAGGTTGGAATACAGTGGTCTGATCACAGCTCACTGCAGCCTCAAACTCCTGGGCTCAAGTGATTCTCCTGCCTCAGCCTCCTGAGCAGCTGGGATTATGGGCACAGGCCAGCATGATTGGCTAAATTTTTTTTTTTGAGACAGAGTCTCGCTTTGTCACCAGGTGCCAGGCTGGAGTGCAGTGGCACAATCTCGGCTCACTACAACCTCCGCCTCCTGGGTTCAAGCAATTCTCCTGCCTCAGCCTCCCGAGTAGCTGGTACTACAGGTGCACACCACCATGCCCAGCTTATTTTTGTATTTTTAGTAGAGATGAGGTTTCACCATGTTGGCCAGGATGGTCTCAATCTCTTGACCTCGTGATCTACCTGCCTTGGCCTCCCAAAGTGTTGAGATTACAGGCTTGAGCCACAGCACCCAGCCTAATTTTTTTTTTTTTTTTTTTTTTTTTTTTGAGACAGAGTTTCACTTATGTTGCCCAGGCTGGAATGCAATGACAAAATCTCAGCTCACTGCAACCTCGACCTCCCAGGTTCAAGTGATTCTCCTGCCTCAGCCTCCCAAGTAGCTGGGATTACAGGCATATGCCACCATGCCCAGCTAATTGTGTTGAGATGGGGTTTCACCTTGTTGGTCAGGCTGGTCTCGAACTTCTAACCTCAGGTGATGCATTCATCTCAGTCTCTCAAAGTACTGGGATTACAGGCATGAGCCACTGCATCCGGCGCTCAGCTAATTAAAAAAAAAAAAAAAAAAATTTTAGGGCCGGGCATGGTGGCTCAAGCCTGTAATCCCAGCACTTTGGGAGGCCGAGGCGGGTGGATCACGAGGTCGAGAGATCGAGACCATCCTGGTCAACATGGTGAAACCCCTTCTCTACTAAAAATACAAGAAATTAGCTGGGCATGGTGGCGCATGCCTGTAATTCCAGCTACTCAGGAGGTTGAGGCAGGAGAATTGCCTGAACCCAGGAGGCGGAGGTTGCGGTGAGCCGAGATCGCGCCATTGCACTCCAGCCTGGGTAACAAGAGCGAAACTCTGTCTCAAAAAAAAAATAATAATAAAAAATAAAAAAATAAAATAAAAATAAAATAAAAAATTTGTAGCGGGAGGTCTTGCTATGTTGCCCAGATTGGTCTTGAACTCCTCGCCTTAAACAATCCTTCCACCTCAGCCTCCCAAAGTGCTGGGATTACAGGCATGAGCCATTGCATCCAGCGCTCAGCTAATTAAAAAAAAAATTTTGTAGCGGGAGGTCTTGCTATGTTGCCCAGATTGGTCTTGAACTCCTCACCTTAAGCAATCCTTCCACCTCAGCCTCCCAAAGTGCTGCGATTACAGGCTTGAGCCACCATGCCTCACCACCACCTTTTAGATTTACTCAGCAAAATCTCATGTAATCCCCAAGCCCACAAATGTTTCAGTTAGTGCAAGTGATACTATAGTACTAGATGAGGCAGTAGAGTCAGAAAGGGAGGAAAAGTCATTATTATGTTGGGTTTCTGAGATATCTGCAAGTACTAAATATAGGAGATCAAAAGAGATGGTGGAATTTCATTTCTTTCTTTTTCTTTTTTTTTTTTTTTGAGACAGAGTCTAGCTTTGTTGCCAGGCTGGAGTGCAGTGGTGTGATCTCAGCTCACTACAACCTCTGCCTCCCGGGTTCAAGCGATTTCCTTGCCTCAGCCTCCCGAGTAGCTGGGATTAGAGGCATGTACCACCACACTCGGCTAATTTTTTGTATTTTAGTAGAGACAGGGTTTCACCATGTTGGCCTGGCTGGTCTGGAACTCTTGACCTCGTGATCCACCTGCCTCAGCCTCCCAAAGTGCCGGGATTACAGGTGAGAGCCACTGCGCCCAGCATAATTTTACTTCGAACTGATGCCCTCCCGCTCCAGTGTTTTGAAGGTGGTATTTTGAAGAACACCCTTGGCTTGGGTGTTCTTTCCTCACCCTTCCAGAGGGGCTCCATGCTCTTCATCATCATCATCAGAATCAGAATCAGTTTCAGATGAATCATCATCATCATCATCGTCATCATCATTTTCACTAAAGCCCCGTTGAGGTGTCAACTGTGAAGTCTTTTTCTTCTCCTGAGATAGGGCAGGGCAGGCAGAGACAGCTTTACATAAAAAAAAAATCTAACGTACCCCTGCCCAGTTCTCTATCGCTGTAACCAACACCCCACCCACCTGGCACCCAATCACCAGAAAAAGGAGGCACTTCCCAGAAGGGGCTTGAGTGCCTTCTGCCCCCTGCTCAGCTACAAATGGGGACTCCACTTTCTAGAACCATATTCCATCTCTCTACTTGACGCTAGGGTAGAAATTCCATCTAATTTTATCTATTGTACAGATTACTCAGATACTCAGAGCTCTGCATACACTTTAGACAGCTTTGGCCCAAAAAGCTATGGACTTTCAAAGAAGAGGATGGCAACTCTAATTATTTTGGAAGAAAATCAGGGAAGATGAAGAGGGAATAAAAACTTTAAGGGTCTTAATACTCACAAAGACCATAGAGAGGAAATCTAGTATTTAATTTTCAAGACTGCTCAGCGTAAGCTGCTTGAAACTACCAAAAGAAAAAAGTTCAAAACCAACCTTGTATCCATCTAACCAGCAGTTTCTATGGAATTTCCATTTTTGTTCAGTGATATTTCTCTTCATGGATTATCTGATCTATCTGTATTTCCCTTCCCTTACCCCATAAATTACATACAATGACTATACATTCTCTCTTAAGATAAGCAGCTCTTTTGTTCTTGCCATTATAACCTACCTTTCTGTGCTTCTGGCTCTCTCTGTACCATCCCACCTTCTCAAATCCATGAGAAGGGGTCTGGTGGCACCTGGGACTTGCAGAGGCAGGTAGAACAGGGTCCATGTCTTTGCTTCTGTGGCCCGGAGCCTGTGGCATGCCCTCTCTTAGGACCTGAAGGATGACCAATTGGCCCCCTTTAAAAGTAGGTTTCCAGCCAGGCGACAGGGGCTCATGCCTGTAATCCCAGCACTTTGGGAGGCCGAGGCAGGCGGATCACAAGGTTAGGAGATCGAGACCATCCTGGCCAACATGGTGAAACACTGTCTCTACTAAAAATACCAAAAAATTAGCTGGGTGTGGTGGCGCATGCCTGTAATCCCAGCTACTCAGGAGGCTGAGGCAGGAGAATCACTTGAGCCAGGTAGTTGGAGATTGCAGTGAGCCAAGATCACGCCACTGCACTCCAGCCTGGTGACAGACTGAAACTCCATCTCCAAAAAAAAAAAAAAAAAGCCAAGTTTTCAAAGCTTGGTTTCTATATACCATTTGGCTTATACAGAGGTGAACACATGTTTGATTCCAGTTGCTTAAAATTAATTTTTTTTATGGTAAAGCAGCTATTGGCACACACAACTGTGACGTGTTACAAGACACCAAAAACTGCTTTTGGTCACCTTTTGCTCTAAGAATAACAAATTTATTATACATAGATAAAAGTATATTCTAAGCTATAATATGCATAGCAGATAATGAAACAGTTGAAGACCTTATTCAGTGACTACATCTTATTAGTATATGATTGATAGGAACTTTCTAGAGCATTCTTTCTTAATTCAAGATTTGCCAAAATTATCTTTAGTCACATAGGAAGCAGTTTTGGCAAAGGGAACTTGTAAGAATATTGTCAGCCCAGGGTAGTGTCTCATGCCTGTAATACCAACATTTTGGAAGGCCAAGGCAGGCGGATCACATGAGGCCAGGAGTTCGAGACCAGCATGGTCAACATGGTGAAACCCTGTCTCTACTAAAAATATAAAAATTAGCCAGGCGTGGTAGTGAGTGCCTGATCCCAGCTACTTGGGAGGCTGAGGCAGGACAATCGCTTGAACCCAGGAGGCACGTTGCAGTGAGCTGAGATCACACCACTGTACTCCAGCCTGGGCACCAGAGCGACTTCATCTAGGAAAAAAAAATAATAATTTTGTCAATTTTTTTTTTTGAGACAATTTCGCTCCTGTTGCTCAGGCTGGAGTGCAATGGTACAATCTCGGCTCACTGCAACATCTGCCTCCCAAGGTTCAAGGGATTCTCCTGCCTCAGCCTCCCGAGTAGCTGGGATTACAGGCCTGTGCCACCATGCCCAGCTAATTTTTTTGTATTTTTAGTACAGATGGTGTTTCTCCATGTTGTTCAGGCTGGTCTCCAACTCCCGACCTCAGGTGATCTGCCTGCCTCAGTCTCCCAAAATGCTGGGATTACAGGTGTGAGTCACCACGCCTGGCCCGTGAATTTTAAAGGTTATTCAAAAGTAGATCCTTTCTGTTGCTTCTGGGTGCATACCAAATTAGAAAGATGAACCTTAAATACTGAGCACAGAATGAAGACTAGAATTTAGGGTGATATACAAAATTTGGCGGTAAATTGGATAGGAAAATAGTTACTTTTCTTCTTCCTCTTTAAAGTTGTACTTTGCAAAAACTCTGATATGAAAGCAGAAGGCTTCATATACTACAGACAAATGCCTAAGAAATGACCTTGTATATAAGACATTAAAACAGGACACTGGTCATAGAGTGGGACCACCTGAAAATGTTACCTTTTAGGCTTTTTATTAAATCAGTCCACATCACTACCGACTTCTATATTACTTCAAATATTTTTCACCTGTGTTTCCAAAGTTCCAGTTCTTAAAAGACTATTAAAATGACTGGCTCGGCGTGCTGGCTCACACCTGTAATCCCAGCACTTTGGGAGGCCGAGGCAGGCAGATCACCTGAGGTCAGGAGTTTGAGACCAGCCTGGCCAAAATGGTGAAACCCCATCTCAATTTAAAAAAAAAAAAAAAAAAAAAAAAAAAAAGGACCGGGTGCGGTGGCTCAAGCCTGTAATCTCAGCACTTTGGGAGGCTGAGGCGGGTGGATCACGAGGTCGAGAGATCGAGACCATCCTGGTCAACATGGTGAAACCCCGTCTCTACTAAAAATACAAAAAACTAGCTGGGCACGGTGGCACGTGCCTGTAATCCCAGCTACTCAGGAGGCTGAGGCAGGAGAATTGCCTGAGCCCAGAAGGCGGAGGTTGTGGTGAGCCGAGATCACGTCATTGCACTCCAGCCTGGGTAACAAGAGCGAAACTCCATCTCAAAAAAAGAAAAAAAAAAAAAAAAGGCCGGGCGTGGTGGCTCAAGCCTGTAATCCCAGCACTTTCGGAGGCCAAGGCGGGTAGATCACGAGGTCAAGAGATCGAGACCATCCTGGTCAACATGGTGAAACCCCGTCTCTACTAAAAATACAAAAAATTAGCTGGGCGTGGTGGCGCGTGCCTGTAATCCCAGCTACTCAGGAGGCTGAGGCAGGAGAATTGCCTGAACCCAGTGGGCGGAGGTTGCAGTGAGCCGAGATCGCGCCATTGCACTCCAGCCTGGGTAACAAGAGCGAAACTCCGTCTCAAAAAAAAATAAAAATAGCGCCGGGCGCGGTGGCTCAAGCCTGTAATCCCAGCACTTTGGGAGGCCGAGGCGGGTGGATCACAAGGTCGAGAGATCGAGACCAACCTGGTCGACATGGTGAAACCCCGTCTCTACTAAAAATACAAAAAATTAGCTGGGCATGGTGGCACGTGCCTGTAATCCCAGCTACTCAGGAGGCTGAGGCAGGAGAATTGCCTGAACCCGGGAGGCGGAGGTTGCGGTGAGCCGAGATCGTGCCATTGCACTCCAGCCTGGGTAACAAGAGCAAAACTCCGTCTCAAAAAAAAAATAAATAAATAAATAAATAAATAAAAATAAAAAATAAAAATAAAAATAAAAATTAAAAAAAAAAAAAAACCATTAAAATGTAGCCATCAGGCTGGGTGCGGTAGCTCACACCTGTAGTACCAATACTTTGGGAGGCTGAGGCAGGCAGATCACCTGAGGTCAGGAGTTAAGAGACCACTGTAGCCAACATGGCAAAACCCCATCTCTACTAAAAATACAAAAATTAGCCAGGCGTGGTGGCAGGTGCCTGTCCCCAGCTACTTGGGAGGCTGAGGCAGGAGAATTGCTTGAACCTGGGAGGTGGAAGTTGCGGTAAGCTGAAATCATGCCATTGCACTCCAGCCTGGGCAACAAGAGTGAAACTCTGTCCCAAAAAAAAAAAAAAAAAACCATTGGATAATGTGCTATGACTAAACACAAGTGGTTTTAAGAAAGCACATGTGCAACTCTAAGGTCCTATATGTGTCTAGAGAGGTGGGCATCTTGCCACTTTCTTTCAGAAGCAGGGTGATTCTCTAGGTTCACAGAATAACAGCAGTAAACATTTGGGTCTTAAGACCTCAAAATTAAAATCTCTTTCACAAAATATTGACAGTATCAGAAGTATTGACAATGAAAAAATGCCCAGACTGACAATTTCAAACTTGCTTTAGCATAAGAATTACCTGGGCTACTTCCTAAAATATAAATTCCCAGGCTTTTACTTTTGAGATTCTGGATGGGGACTGGGAATCTGTATATTTAAAAATAAGCACCCCAGTTGACTCTTACGATCAGGAAAGTTTGTGAAACACTGGCTTACATTTTATAAAATTCCTCACTAAAGTCAGCTGTAATAGTAGGCTTTATTCCTGAAGAAAAGTCAAAATCTCAAGGCTCTTTGCAACTGATTTCCCTCCATAAGCTCAAAGGTCCCTAACCACTGGAGGTGAGTGTTCAACAAACGTTTACTGTTGAACTGGTGTCATCTCTAACTACTAAAAACCCAAAGCAGAAATTCTACAAGAACCTGTGAGTTTAATCGTACCTTGTTATTTTCCTCTTCATACTCATCACTGCTGTTGTCAGCCATAGCCTTGTTAGGAAGATGGGCAGAACGAGGAAATCCTTTGAAGAAAAGATTATCCTTTAGATTATTATTAAAATGATTTTTCGGGCCAGGCACGGTGGCTCACGCCTATAATCCCAGCACTTTGGGAGGCCGAGGTGGGTGGATCACGAGGTCAAGAGATCGAGACCATCCTGGTCTACATGGTGAAACCCTGTCTCTACTAAAAATACAAAAATTAGCTGGGCATGGTGGCACATGCCTGTAGTCCCAGCTACTTGGGAGGCTGAGGCAGGAGAATTGCTTGAACCCAGGAGGCGGAGGTTGTGGTGAGCCGAGATCGCGCCATTGTACTCCTGCCTGGGTAACAAGAGCGAAACTCCGTCTCAAAAACAAAACAAAAAAGAAACAAAAAACAAGATTTTTAAAGACAAATATTTTTAGTTTGTAATATTTTATGCTCTAATTTTTTTTTTTTTTTTTGAGGTGGAGTCTTGCTCTGTCGCCCAGGCTGGAATGCAATAGTGTGATCTTGGCTCACTGCAACCTCCGCCTCCCAGGTTCAAGCAATTCTCTTGCCTCAGCCTCCCGAGTAGCTGGGATTACAGGTGCATGCCACCACACCTGGCTAATTTTTTGTATTTTTAGTAGAGTCGGAGTTTCACCATGTTGGCCAGGATAGTCTCAATCTCTTGAGCTTGTGATCTGCCCATTTCGGCCTCCCAAAGTTCTAGGATTACAGGCGTGAGCCACCGTGCCTAGCCATGCTCTAACCATTTTATAAAACAAGGCTTATCAGAACATTTAGCTATAAGACAGGAGACTGAATTTTAGTCATGTTTCTGCCAATTGAAATCAAGATATATTTACTAAACATTACTGTGCTTAAGGCATTGGGTTAGACATTATACTAATCAAATTATCTGCTATTACATAAATAATATAAACTCTGACCAGGAGCAGTGACTCATGCCTGTAATCTCAACACTTTGGGAAGGGGAGGCAGGAGGATCACTTGAGGCCAGGAGTTTGACTAGCCTGGACAATATGGCAAGATCCTGTCTACAAAAAAAGAAAAAAAAATTAGCTGGGTGTGACGGTATGTGCCTATGGTCTCAGCTACTCGGGAGGCTGAAGCAGGAGGTCTGCTTGAACCCAGGAGTTTGAGGCTGCAGTGAGCAGTGTTCATGCCACTGCACTCCAGCCTGGGTAACAGAGTAAGAGCCTATCTCAAAAAAAAAAAAAAAAAAAGAAAAAGAAAAAGAAAAAAGTAAAAAAGAAAGAAAGAAAGAAAGAAAAAGCAAAGAAAACCCTTTGCCCTTGGTTTACATGTTAGTCAAATGAGATTAACAACTAGTAAGGTGCAGCGTGCTTAATTTATAGTAAGACTGGGTTTGAAGATAAATTACCTAAACAAAATGACTTAACTTCTTTGAGTCTCAGTATTCCCATCTCTAAATAGGGTCCTAATATTTGTCACCCAGGGGTCTTTCACCCAGCGGTCTTATGAGGATCAAATGAAAAAATTTATGTGCAAGGAACTGACCCAGTGCCTGGGTCACAAATAATAGTTACAAGTTTGAATCTGAATCAGTATGCAAAGATAAGAGGAATTAAAAGTATAATTAAGGCCAGGCCCAGTGGCTCACACCTGTAATCCTAATACTCTGAGAGGCAGAGGCAGAAGACTGCTTGAGCCTAGGAGTTCAAGACCAGACTGGGCAACATGGTGAAACTCTGTCTCTACAAAATAAAAAAATTAGCTAGGCAAGGGGGCATGGTAGTTCCTGCTACTGGGGGGTCTAAGGCAGGAGGACTGCATGAGCCCAGGAGGTCGAGGCTGCAGTGAGCTGTGATCATGCTACTGCACTCCAGCCTGGGTGACAGAGTAAAACTGTCTCTATAAATAAAAAATTAAATTAAAATAAAAGTATAATTAGATGTAAGGTATTAGCTGAAATGAAAACATGATAAATGATTTCTATACCAAATAAATGCAAATTAAATACCACTTTTTGGTTTACTCAATTAGCCCAAACTACAAACAAATTATAATGTCCCCAGCTATCAAGTGCACAAACACGCTCAAGTCAGAACCCTAGGTGGCTAGGTCCCAAGGAATTGAAAACAAGGACTTAAATGGACCCTTGTACACCTCTGTTCATAGCAGCGTTATTCACAATAGCCAAAACACAAAAACAACCCAAGTGTCCATTAACAGGTGAATGAATTTAAAATGTGGCATATACATGCAATGGAATACTACTCAGCCTTAAAAAGAAACTCTACATTCTACAACACCGATGAACCTTAAAAACATCACACTAGGCTCTGCGCAGTGGCTCACGCCTGTAATTCCAGCACTTTGGGAGGCTGAGGCAGGCGGATCATGAGATCAAGAGGTCGAGTCCAGCCTGACCAACATGGTGAAACCCTCTCTCTACTAAAAATACCAAAAAAATTAGCTGGGTGTGGTGGTGCACGCCTGTAATCCCAGCTACTCAGGAGGCTGAGGCAGGAAAATTGCTTGAATCCCGGGAAGCAGAGGTTGCAGTGAGCTGGGATCTCACCACTGCACTCCAGCCTGGGCGACAGAGCAAGACTCTGTCTCAAAACAAACCAACAAACAAAAAACACACACACACACTAAGTGAAATAAGTCAGCCACAAAAGGGTGAATATAGTATGATTTCACTTATGTGGTTCCCAGAATAAGCAAACTCATAGAGACAGTAGAATCGTGGTTACCAGGGCGGAGTGGAAGCAAGCAATTAGGAGTTACTGTTTGGGATGATCTGAAAATAGTGCTAACGGTTACACAACATTGTGAATATACTTAATACTATTTAATTGTACACTTAAAAATTCTTAAAATGGCAAATTTTATGTTATGTCTATTTTACCACAATAAACAAACACAAACCTTGGATATCATCTTTGATTCCTAACTCAGGAGCGAAAACCAATCCAGCAAGTCTTAGTGATTCTACGACCACCTGTCTTGTATAGTATTTGCCTCTTCCTTATTCTCAACTTCCTCACCAGACGCCAAGTCACTATCATCTCAACTCAGTCATCCCAACGGTCCATTCTACACACGACAGTAACACAGCCTCCAAAGCTCTGCTTGTTATGCCTCCTGCCCTAGCTCTCTGATCTGACCATATCATACAGTAGAGTCCCCTCTACTGTAAACTGGTCTGTTTCAGGTCCTCAAACTAAGCCAAGTTCTTTCAGACTTCAAGGTTTTTCACATCTCACATACTATTTCCTCTTCCTGGCCTACTTTTCCTCAGTGTCTGGATTCTTGCCATCTTTCAGTCTCACATATCACCCCTTTAGATCTTCCCCGATCACCCTATCAAAAGTGGGTCTCTGGCCGGGCGCAGTGGCTCATGCCTGTAATCCCAACACTTTGGGAGGCCAAGGCAGGTGGATCACGAAGTTAAGAGATCGAGACCATCCTGGTCAGCATGGTGAAACTCCGTCTCTACTAAAAATACAAAAAATTAGCTGGGCATGGTGGTGCGTGCCTGTAATCCCAGCTACTCAGGAGGCTGAGGCAGAAGAATCGCCTGAACCCAGGAGGCGGAGGTTGCGTTGAGCCGAGATCGCGCCATTGCACTCCAGCCTGGGTAACAAGAGCGAAACTCCATACAAAAAAAAAAAAAAAAAAAAAAATGTGGGTCTCTGGCTGGGTGAGATGGCTAATGCCTGTGATCCCAGCACTTTGCTAGGCGGAGGTGGGAGATCACTTGAAGTCAGGAGTCCAAGACCAGCCTGGCCAACATGGTGAAACCCCGTCTCTACTAAAAATACAAAAATTAGCTGGGCGTGGTAATGCCAGCTACTCGGAAGGCTGAGGCAGGAGGATTGCTTGAAATCAGGAGGTGGAGGTTGTAGTGAGCCGAGATTGCACCACTGCACTCTAGCTTGGGCGATACAGTGAGACTCTATCTCAAAAAAATGTGGGTCTCCTTCCTCACCGTTATTCTCCTTTACAGCAAACAATCTTCCTCCATCAGAGCACTTACCACATTTGGAATTTGTTTACTCATTTGTCATCTGCCTCCCATGACTACAAGCATTGAGATGGCAAGGACGTTGTGTCATTTAACACTATTTACCCAAGTGCCAGGCATAAGGCTGGCACATAGTAGGCATTTTAAAATGTTTGTTAGCCAGGCAAGATGGCTCACACCTGTAATCCCGGCACTTTGGGAGGCTGAAGTGGAAGGACTGCGTGAGGCTGGGAGTTCAAGATCAGCCTCGGCAACATAGCAAGACCTCGTCTCTATAAAATTAAGAAAAAAAAAGTTTGTTGAATAAATAAATACTGTCCAGTCCTCTAAAAATATTTCACTGTAATTTGAGTTGGGGATGCAGGCTAAGGGCAGATTATGAAGCATCTTCAAAGCTGGAAAAAACATAAGTTAAAAAAAAAAAAAAAGGCCAGGCGCAGTGGCTCACGGCTATAATCCCAGCACTCTGGGAGTCCGAGGCGGGTGGATCACAAGGTCAAGAGATTGAGACCATCCTGGTCAACAAGGTGAAACCCCATCTCTACTAAAAATACAAAAATTAGCTGGGCATGGTGGTGCACGCCTGTAGTCCCAGCTACTTGGGAGGCTGGGGCAGGAGAATTGCTTGAACCCAGGAGGCGGAGGTTGCGGTGAGCCGAGATCGTGCCATTGCACTCCAGTCTGGGTAACAACAGTGAAACTCCATCTCAAAAAAAAAAAAAAAAAAAAAGAGTGAATTCCTGGCAGAATAGTGAGCAAAGCAGTAACATGAAGTAAACGGTGATAGGCTTGGATTGGGGGAAAATCCTGTAATTTGGAAGGCTATGATTTCTCTCCCTTAACTAGTAAGAAAACAAACAATAGCAAGTGAAGTAACTTGACTCTGAAAGTCAACATATGCTATTATAAAATAGGAACTTTGGCCAGGCGCAGTGGCTCATGCCTATAATCCCAGCACTTTGGGAGGCTGAGGAGGGTGGATCACCTGAGGTCAGGAGTTCAAGACCAGCTTAGCCAACATGAAACTCCATCGCCACAAAACTACCAAAAAAAAAAAAAAAAAAATTAGCCAGGCATGGTGATATGTGCCCGTAGTCCCAGCTACTAAGGAGGTTGAGGCCAGAGAATCGCTTGAACCCAGGAGGCGGAGGTTGCAGTGAGCCGAGATTGCACCACTGCACTCCAGCCTGGGCAACAGAGGGAGACACCATTTCAAAAAAATAATAAATTAAAAATAAAATAAAATAAGAACTTCTTGAAGACAAGTGTGAATCCAGCCTGTTCTTTGAGTACCATTTCTCTTCCTTTTCATTCCTTTCTTACCTTGGTTTCTTGGGGTTGGAGTGTAAATACTTGCAACCTCTTCTGAGTCGTTAATCTCTAGACGCTCATCGTATGTCTGGTTTTCAACAACCTTGGTCTAAGCAAAAGGAGACACGATTAATAGCTCCTTTCATGGGACATTAAGCACTGTGCCAGGAGGTATATTCCAAACTAGCATTGGCTCCTCTTCCTTACCCAAGAAACCAGTTTTTCATAAAACCATCACCCCATCCAAACTTTCCTTAAGGCTTCTTGGCCCCCGGTTAAGCAGTTAAGTCATTCTGTTGCAGCCCTTATTTAAGAATTGCTGGTAGGCTGGCTGAGCAACCAGGGAATCGTGGAGGGAGAGAGAGCCAACTTCTGCAGCTTCCCAAAGCTGTAAGACCACGCCCAAGGGCAGAACACTATTCGTACTAAGTCGACGGCCAAGGCTGATGAGGTTTCTCAGGGGAGGCTGTAGAGGTTCTAGGAAGAGTTTTTTGTCTGGAGCCACCTACGGGGTGGGGTGGGCGTTTTGTCTCTGGAGCCACCTGTGGGGTGGGGTCCCCAAAAAGAGGGGAAACTCCAGTCTCTCCATCCCATCCAATAATCCCAAAAGCATCACCTCCACCTTCACCTTTACCCTCGTCTTGCAGATGAGATCCCACCTAAGTCTGCTGGGGAATAAAGGAAGCAGGACGGTTGGTGGTGAGGTGGCGAAGGAACAGTTATCACGGAGATGGAAAAAGGTAACGGGATGGGGTAAAGGGGAGTCCTCTAAAGCACGTCTAGAGAGACAGTACCCTTTCTACTGGGGTGGGTACTAATTACCTGTAGCCCCTCTGAATCCGTTTCCTCTATAATGGAAAGAACCCCAGCCTAGGGCTGGGGTATCACTCCAGTGTCAAGGTCAGGCCACTTGAGAGATTCAACGCCGAGCAACTACTGTTTTCAGTCGCTAGGCAAAAAGGCAAGTTTTAAAATTCGCGAGATTTGCTTCCACTCTCGTGAGACCTCCCGCACGTTACGCCTCACCCGCGAAGGCTGTCTACGCAGGAAGAAGATCCAGGGGGCACGGATAAAGCCTCTCTGGGCGGCCAAGTCGCCTGTTTTTCTATGGTTTCAGTAAATGCGTCTGCTGCGGCATCTAGCGGCTGCGGATGGCAACGCCGGCTGATGAATTTTCGGGCTTGCAGTTAGCTCTGCAATTTGGAAACGGTGCGCGTTTGTTCCACCTAGGACAACAATCTCTGGGGGTGCAGTTCCTCCTAGATCAGTCTTACCAGAATGTAGACACACTCTCCAGAGAAAATTCTGCAGCATTCTGTACGTCCTTTTCTAGCACTATGTTATATTATAGTCACCCCCACCACAGGGTGCCATAGCATAGGACATACTTGTAAGTTATTCCTTGTGTATCTGAGGTTCAGTTTGTTTTTGTTTTTGTTTTTGTTTTTGTTTTTGAGACGGAGTCTCGCTCTGTCTCCCAGGCTGGAGTGCGATGGCACGACCTCGGCTCATTGCAACCTCTGCCTCCCGGATTCAAGCGATTCTCCTGCCTCAGCCTCCTGAGTAGCTGGGATTACAGGCACGCAACACCACGCTCAGCTAATTTTTGTTAGTAGCGACGGGGTTTCAACGTGTTGGTCAGGCTGGTCTCGAACTCCTGACCTCGTGATCCACCTGCCTCGGTTTCCCAAAGAGCTGGGATTACAGGAGTTAGCCACCGCACCCGGCTCTGAGGTTCAAATTTAACTATGTGTCCTTTCTTATTTGCTAAAGAAAACTGAATTTGGCCGGGCGCGGTGGCTCAAGCCTGTAATCCCAGCACTTTGGGAGGCCGAGGCGGGTGGATCACGAGGTCGAGAGATCGAGACCATCCTGGTCAACATGGTGAAACCCCGTCTCTACTAAAAATCCAAAAAAAAATTAGCTGGGCATGGTGGCACGTGCCTGTAATCCCAGCTACTCAGGAGGCTGAGGCAGGAGAATTGCCTAAACCCAGGAGGCGGAGGTTGCGGTGAGCCGAGATCGCGCCATTGCACTCCAGCCTGGGCAACAAGAGCGAAACTCCGTCTCAAAAAAAAGAAAAGAAAAGAAAACTGAATTTATTTAAAGCAGGATTTGTGTCTAATAAATTTTTAAACTTTATAACACCAGTACCTTGCAGAAATTAGACACTGAAAATGCTCGTTGGATGGATGAATCGATGAATAAGTGAATGGAGATGTAAGGAACAAATATTTTCAAACTATAGACATAATTCATTTGGGAAGTCAGGGAGAGAGAAACATAAAATATTGGAGGCCGGTCTCGGTAGCTCATGCCGGTAATCCCAGCACTTCCAGAGGCGAGCTGAGAAGACTGCTTGATTCCAGGAGTTCAGGAATAGCTAGAGCAACAAAGCAAGAACCACCTTCCCCATTAAAAAAAAAAAAAAAAAAAAAAAAGCCTGGTGTGGTGGCACACACCTGTAATACTAGCCACTCAGGAAGCTGAGGCAGGAGGATTGCTTGAGCCTGGGAGGCAGAGGTTGTAGTGAACTGAGATTGGGCCACTACATTCACTCCAGCCTGGGCGACAGAGCGAGACCCCACCTCAAATATAAATAATTAATAATAATAATAATAAATTTTTAGCCGGGTGCGTAAAATTATAGGCTTGTGCATGTAATCCTAACACTTTGGGAGGCCAAGGCCGGCAGATCACGAGGTCAGGAGTTCGAGTCCAGCCTGACCAACATGGAGAAACCCCGTCTCTACTAAAAATACAAAAATTAGCTGGGTGTGGTGGCGCACGCCTGTAGTCTCAGCTACCTGGGAAGCTGAGGCAAGAAAATCGCTTGAACCCCGGAAGTGGAGGTTGCAGTGAGCCGAGATCCTGCCACTGTACTCCAGCCTGGGTGACAGAGCAAAATTCCGTATAAATAAATAAATAAATAAATAAAGTGTTTAAAAAGAAAATAATATTAGAAATTTGACCCTGAAGATCTAACAGTCCTCTGTTAGGAAAACAAGCAAAGTGGCTTAAAAAATGAGAGACACCTTTTCAGGGATACTGATAGTTAAAAATGGAACTGCATTAAAAAAATTTGTGATCTGTTTTGCTTGTAATAGTGGATATGTAATGTAGAGTAATTACTATGCAGGAGCACTTAGATTTTTTGAGGAGGAGCACTTAGATTATATCATCTAATTTACTTCACAACCTTACGAGACAGATGTTACTGCCAATTTACAGATTCGGTAACTGAGGCTTAGACAGTTAAAGAAACTTGCCTAAAGTCTCTCAGCTAATAAGTGCTGAAAATAGCAGCCAAACACAGGTCGGTCTGATTCCTAAGAATCTGCTTTCAACTGTTACAATATACGGCCACTATGGCACCCTCCAGAAGCATGCTTGCAGGGTTGCTTTTTCTTCTGTGGTTTAATTCAGCTACGGTTATATTTCCAAAGAATCAGCATCAGCTGGGAGTGGTGGCTCACACCTGTAATCCCAGCACCTTGGGAGGCTAAGGCGGGCGGATCACAAGGTCAGGAGTTCCAGACCAGCCTAGCCAACATGGTGAAACCCTGTCTCTACCAAAGATACTAAAAATTAGCCGGGTGTGGTGGCGAGCACCTGTAATCCCAGCTACTCGGGAGGCTGAGGCAAGAGAATTGCTTGAACCCAGGAGATGGAGGTTGCAGTGAGCCAAGATCGTGCCCTTGTACTCCAGCCTGGGCTGGAGTAAGGCGAGACTTTGTCCCCCCCTCTGCCCCCCAAAAAAAGAATCAGCACCGGGCACTGTGGCTCACACCTGTAATCCTAGCACTTCAGGAGGCTGAGGTGGGTGGATCACCTGAGGACAGGAGTTCAAGACCAGCCTGGCCATCATGGTGAAACCGCATCTTTAAAAAATATAAATAAATAAATAAAAAGAATTGTCGTGGACCGTCCGGACGGGTAGGCACGTCTGCCCGGGGGTCTCTCGACCTGCAAGAGGGTCCCAATACCTGGAAGAGGGAGTGCGCCTGAGAAAATAATAAAGACAGAGAGAGAGAAAGCGAGGCATCTGGAGGGCTGATAGGCTGTGCCTAAACAGCAAATTTTATTTTTCAAAGGCCAGGAATAAATACACTTTCTTGGCTCTGGTTTACGTCATAGTAAGAGGAATGTAAATGTATGCCTCACACGGCCTATACAATAGAGAAGTCAAATACACAATGGTTGCAAGACGAAATGTAAATGTATACCTTACATGGCCTATGCAATTGAAGAGTCAGATACACAATCAGTGGTTGTAAAAAGTAACAGAATTTCCTGTAATCACAAAGCTTGTTTACATCCAGACATTATTCCTCCTGGGGCTGCAGGTATCTCCGGTTTGATCTTGTTTTAGAACTGAGATGTGAAAAGGTTTTCTGGTTTTGCTCATCAGAATATCTCTTAACCGGATTCTCCTTTGTCTACTCCTAACTCAACTTAACTCAATTTCCCCATTAAGGAATCTCTGAGTCAGGAATCAAAGCCATCCCTTACGGTGGCATTTTGCTTTGCAAATATTGACAGTTAAACCATTATCTAGGGTACAAGGCAGTCTGGTAAGTAAGGTTTAAGGATTATTCTTAAAGTCATAAAAAGGTTAAAAGCAGGAACCGGTTGCCGGCAGGGGGTCACTCGGTCTAGCACCAACGCATAGTTTTAGGCCCAAATGATATTGTGGTTGATATTAGAAACTGATCATTCATCTTTCTTCCTATATTTCCGGATAGCTCGACTGCCTCCAGTAGGAAACTGTGTTTGGGATCAAGCTCACCGTATAGTGAGACTCACGCCTTTTAGGGGTCTCACACGGGAGTGTTCCCCACAAAGAATCAGAATCAATTGGTCTTTGCTAAGCTTTTGAGATTCAAGTTGGAAGCCCTGGAAGGTGCCACAATAAGGCAATAATTTCTTCTTCTTCTTTTTTATTTTATTATTATTATTTTTAAAGATGGGGTTTCACCATGTTGGTCAGGCTGGTCTTGAACTCCCGACCTCAGGTGATCCGCCCGCCTTGGCCTCTAAAGTGCTTGGATTACGGGCATGAGCCACTATGCCCGGCCAAGGCAATAATTTCTAACAGGGTTTTTACTTTTCTAAAAAAATAAGAACTTGTTCCATCTTTCTTAAAATATGTCTGCTTTTTGTAACAAAAATTAAAATTGAGCCAGGCGCAGTGGCTCATGCCTGTAATCCCAGCACTTTTGGAGGCTGAAGTGGGTGGATCATCTGAGGCCTAGAGTTCGAGACCAGCCTGGCCAATATGGTGAAACCCCTGTCTATACTAAAAATACAAAAAATAGTAGGGCATGATGGCGGGTGCCTGTAATCCCAGCTACTCAGCAGGCTAAGGCAGGAAATTCGCTTGAACCCTGGAGGCGGAGGTTCCAGTGAGCCAAGATCGGTCATTGCACTCCAGCCTGGGCGATCATCTTAAAAAAAAAAAAATTAGTCACGTGGGGTGGTGCATGCCTGTAATCCCAGGTACTCAGGACGCTGAGACAGGAGAACTGCTTGAACCTGGGAGGGAGAGGTTACAGTGAGCTGAGATGGTGCTACTACACTCCAGCATGGGTGAGAGAGTAAGATTCTTTCTCAAAATAAATAGTAAATTTATCCCATAAATGTGTACAATTATCTTTTTTAGGACATTTCATCATCCCCTAAAGAAACCTTGTACCCATTGTCAGTCACTTTTTTCTTTTTTTGAGACAGGGTCTCATTCTGTCACTCAGGCTGAAATATAGTCACGAGACCTCAAGCTTACTGCAATCTCTGCTTCCCTGGTTCAAGTGATTCTCAGGCCGAGTAGCTTGGGACTACAGGCATGGGCCACCACACCTGACTAATTTTTGTATTTTCAGTAGAGATGGCGTTTCACTATGTTGGCCAGCCTGGTCTCGAATTTTTGACCTCAAGTGATCCCCATGCCTTGGGCTCTCAAAGTGCTGAGATTACAGGCATGAGCCACAGAGCCTGGCCAATGTATGCAATTATTATGTGTCAATTAAAAAATTTAAAAATATTGGCCGGGCTCAGTGGCTCATTCCTGCAACCCCAGAACTTTGAGGGGACAAGGTGAAAGGATTGCTTGAGGTCAGGAGTTTGAAACCAGCCTGGGCAACATAGCAAGATTCCATCTCTTTAAAAAAAATTTTTTTTAAGGGGCCAGGCGCGTGGCTCAAGCCTGTAATCCCAGCACTTTGGGAGGCCAAGGAGGGCAGATCACGAGGTCAAGAGATCGAGACCATGGTGAAATCCTGTCTCTACTAAAAAACACAAAAATTAGCTGGGTGTGGTCGCACGCACCTGTGGTCCCAGCTACTCGGGAGGCTGAGGCAGGAGAATTGCTTGAACCCGGGAAATGGAGGTTGCAGTGAGCTGAGATCACGCCACTGCACTCCAGCCTGGTGCCTGGCAGCAGAGCGAGACTGTCTCAAAAAAAAAAAAATTTTTTTTTTAATGACAAAAACTGTAAACTATAGTTTGACCTATATACTTCCAGACATGTAAAGTTTAAAAATATTTGAGCTTTCTTCTTTTTTTTTTTTTTTTTTTAAGACGGAGTTTAGCTCTTGTTACCCAGGCTGGAGTGCAATGGCACAATCTCGGCTCCCCGCAACCTCCATCTCCTGGGTTCAAGCAATTCTCCTGCCTCAGCCTCCCGAGTAGCTGGGACTACAGGCATGCGCCACCATGCCCAGCTAACTTTTGTATTTTTAGTAGAGACGACGTTTCACCATGTTGACCAGGATGGTCTCGATCTCTTGACCTCGTGATCCACCCATCTCGGCTTCCCAAAGTGCTGGGATTATAGGTGTGAGCCACCGAGACTGGCTTTAGGTCTCACTATTTTGCACAGACCGACCTTTAACTCTTGGCTCAAGTCATCCTCTCAACTCAGCCTCCCAGGTAGCTGGGACTCTAGGATCATGGCTTAATTCTAGAATGTTTTAATTATTCCAGAAATAGCCGGGCGCGGTGGCTCAAGCCTGTAATCCCAGCACTTTGGGAGGCCGAGGCGGGTGGATCACGAGGTCAAGAGATCGGGACCATCCTGGTCAACATGGTGAAACCCTGTCTCTACTAAAAATACAAAAAATTAGCTGGGCATGGTGGCACGTGCCTGTAATCCCAGCTATTCAGGAGGCTGAGGCAGGAGAATTGCCTGAACCCGGGAGGCAGAGGTTGCGGTGAGCCGAGATCGCGCCATTGCGCTCCAGCCTGGGTAACAAGAGCGAAACTCCGTCTCAAAAAAAAAAAAAAAAAAAAAAAAAAAAAAAAAAAAAAAAATTATTCCAGAAATAAATCTCACCCTAATTAGCTGTCATTCCCTATTTCTCTCCTTCCTGAGCCCCTGGAAACCACTAAGCTACATTCTGTCTCTATGGATTTTCCTCTATTCTAGATCTTTCATATTAATGGAATCATATGTGAGTGCCCCATTGTATCTGTCTTTTCTCACATAGTATTTTCTTTTTTTTTTTTTTTTTTTTTTTTTTGAGACGGAGTTTCGCTCTTGTTGCCCAGGCTGGAGTGCAATGGCACGATCTCGGCTCACCGCAACCTCCGCCTCCCGGGCTCAGGCAATTCTCCTGCCTCAGCCTCCTGAGTAGCTGGGATTACAGGCACGTGCCACCATGCCCAGCTAATTTTTTGTATTTTTAGTAGAGACGGGGTTTCACCATGTTGACCAGGATGGTCTCGATCTCTCGACCTCGTGATCCACCCGCCTCGGCCTCCCAAAGTGCTGGGATTACAGGCTTGAGCCACCGCGCCCGGCCTTATTCCTTTTTATGACAAAATACTATTCCATTGCATATATATGCCACATCTACTGATGAATGGATTTATTTAGATTGTCTCCACTTTTTGGCTACTATGAATAATGCTGCTATGAATATTAGAGTACACATTTTCGTGTTGACATGTATTTTCAGTTTTCTTGGGTATGTACCTATGAGTGGAATTGCTCAGTCATATGGTAATTTTGTTTAACTTTTTTAGGAACTGCCAAACTCTCTGTTCCAATGTGGCTGCACTATTTTACATTCATCCTCACCAATAATTATTATTATAGCCATGCTAGTGGGTGTGAAGTTGTATCTCACCATGGGTTTGATTTCCAGTTCCCTAAGGATATTAAACATTTCTTAATGTGCACATTAGCCATTTATTATCTTCTTTAGATACATGACACATATCTATTCAAATCTTTTGTCCATTTTAATTTTTTGTTTTTTACTCTCTCCATTTTGCAGATGAAGCCCATTTTTAGATTAGAATACTGTATTTATCTTTTTATTGCTGAGTTTTTATTGCACATTTGTTGGTGTGACTGAGGGTACATTGTGTAGAGCACTGGGAAAATGTGAGCAAGTTCCAGAGAACACAGGGTTTGCCTTTCAGGAACCTAAGAGTTCTTAGGCCAGATGCGGTGGCTTATGCCTGTAATCCCAGCCCTTTGGGAGGCCGAGTCACTTGAGGTCAGGAGTTCGAGACTAAGCTGGCCAACTTGGTGAAACCCGTCTACTAAAAATACAAGAAACAGCCCAGCGTGGTGGTGCATGCCTGTAATGCCAGCTACTTGGGAGGCTGAGGCAGGAGAATCGCTTGAACCTAGGAAGTGGAGGTTGCAGTGAGCCGAGATTGTGTCATTGCACTCCAGCCTGGGCGACAGAGACTCCATCTCAAAAAAACAAACAAACAAAAAACCCAAGAAAACCAGTTCTTTATATATTCCGGATACCAGTCCCTTATTTAATGTATATTAAATAATAATGGCTGTGCCAGAGGCTCGATAAACTGTAAGATGTGACGCAAAATAAATGAAGGAGATGACAGTGAAAGGGCAGAGATAGGAGGTTCCACAGCTGGAGGGTGAACGTCGCCTTCACCTCCTGGGCACATTCGTTACCCTCAATTTTCCCGAGTCCACTGGCCCCGCCCCCCGCACTTTGACCCGCGCCGCTTCCGGTTGGAGACGTGGCTCAGGGCCGCCATCTTGGTAAGAAGCGAAGTGGCAGCGGCTCCTGTCAGGGGGGCAGCAGGTCCAGAGTGGCCGGTGCTCCCCTTCACCAGACCCTACCCTTATCCCCAGTGAAGCCGGAGCGCGGGCGCGCCCCACCACCTCCCTCACCATGGTAAGATCCGAGCCAAGACCCGAACTCCCGGGGTGCCAGCCTCACTCTCGTCTCTCCTTTTCGGCGGGCCTGGTGCCGGGGCCGGAGGGGCGCCGCCCTGAGGATCTAGGGCCGGTTGCTTTGCTCGGGGCTCGGGAGCAGTGTGGCCTCCTGTGCCCGATCTCCTGGGGATCCGACGGAGCTGACTCCAGTCCATCTGTCGTCGTGCCCGCTTGCCCGCCACCCCCAACCAGCTGGACTCCCTCGTCTCCTGGGACCTGTCCCTGAGACGGCCCGGCGTTTTTGCTTGGGGAGAACTTTGTGGTGGTGGCGCGGGCCCCAGGCTGCGGACCTCGGAACTGATGCTGTCCCGTCGGTTCCCTGACGCTTAGGCTCAGCGGGCTGGGCCAGTCTCCGGAGGTTCTGGTCCTTCTGTTAATCAGCTGGTCTCCCACCCCCAGTGTTTGCTAGGCCATTGATACTCGAAATTCAAGTTCACTGGTCTCCAGAAATGTTTCTTTTGTTTGTTCAGAAGGGGGAAATGGAGACATAGAGCGGAAAGGAGTAACTTCTAACACGAATTGGTAGGACCCAAGTGTCCCTGAAACCTTCCACTACTTCCGTAGAACTCAAATGTGTCCATTTGTTAGTGTGACTGAGGGTACATTGTGTAGAGCACTGGGAAAATATGAGCAAGTTCTAGAGAACACAGGGTTTGCCTTCAAGGAACCTATTGTTCAGGTGAAGTAAAATGTGGATGTCGCATGTCGTAGTCAGATGTCCCACCGGAGGAGAAGTAAGAGGGGTGGGTTATCTTCTTAGACCAGTTATTTGCCTTCATATGCATTATCTTTGTATATTCTCTTATAAGAATGGGAAAGGTTAATATGGTTGAGGATGAAGGAAATCAGAACTGCTGACATCACTTAATCTTGCTTTATCAGTGTGATTTGTGGATATTCATAAAGTAGACATTCTTTGGTTTCAAAAAAGCTATTAGTTTATTTTTCAGTGCACCTTATGTCCTTTAATCTTTTGAAGGATATTCTGTTCTGTTCTTTTTTATTCTTTTGTCAGTAGATAACTTGATTTAAAACGTCGTCCGGTGTACCTGAGAGATAACAATGGAATCTGGTGCCAATCTTACTAGGTTCTACAGACAGCCCTTTAGATGAGAACTTGGATAGTGGGGGGAATTCATGCTTGGGCTTTAAGCCACTGAGCAACTTTTCTTAGACTCAGGTATATAAATTGCAACAAACAGGTTTGTCTCCTGAAATTTTTGTGTTGGACATAAAATTTCCAAAAATTTGTATTTTTCAGTTTCTCTAGAAGCTTCTGTACTTGATTAGTGATTAATAAACTGAGTTTGTTAGTGATAAACTCAGTTTCTGTTTATACCCTGGAAGTAATAGTAGTGCATTTTAGAGCATATTATTTTAATAGTAAAATTAAGGTCTTGTATTATATAAACCAAATTTAGATAATCTTTATAAAAATCTTCGTGGTTAAAAGGTTCTTGGGCCGGGCGCGGTGGCTCAAGCCTGTAATCCCAGCACTTTGGGAGGCCGAGGCGGGCGGATCACGAGGTCGAGAGATCGAGACCATCCTGGTCAACATGGTGAAACCCCGTCTCTACTAAAAATACAAAAAATTAGCTGGGCATGGTGGCACGTGCCTGTAATCCCAGCTACTCAGGAGGCTGAGGCAGGAGAATTGCCTGAACCCAGGAGGCGGAGGTTGCGGTGAGCCGAGATCGGGCCATTGCACTCCAGCCTGGGTAACAAGAGCGAAACTCCGTCTCAAAAAAAAAAAAAAAAAAAAAAAAAAAGGTTCTTGGAACTTAGTATTTTTTTTTTTTAAGTAGAAATGGGGTTTCACCATGTCGGTCAGACGTGTCTTGAACTCCTGACCTCATGATTCACCCGCCTCAGCCTCCCAAAGTGCTGGGATTACAGGCGTGAGCCACCGTGCCCAGCTTCAAACTTAGTATTTTGAATTGATTGATAACTGAGGGATGGTAAAGCCCTAGGTGATACATATAAAGTATAACTTTGCATGCGATTTTGACATGTGTACATATACACAGAGTTGTGTCACATATTGCTGAATTATTTGGGCCTTAGCATGATCCAGATACCCACAGATTTGTGTACTCTGGAGAGCAGTTTATCTCAGCACATTCTGCTCTATAGGGTCTTAAAACACTGGTATTATTTTTGTGTAATGTTTTTGGGTCCTGCTCCTTTACAGACAGATCCCTGGATAGTAGAAATGTCCAGATAGGGTGAAGTTTTGATCTAAAAGTTGTATCAAAACTTCTAGCAGTTTATTTTAGCTCAATATTTCATTATGAAATTTTCTTTTTCTTTCTTTTTTTTTTTTTTTTGAGACGGAGTTTCGCTCTTGTTGCCCAGGCTGGAGTGCAATGGTGCATTCTCGGCTCACCACAACCTCCGCCTCCTGGGTTCAAGCAATTCTCCTGTCTCAGCCTCCCAAGTAGCTGGGATTACAGGCATGTGCCACCACATCCGGCTAATTTTTTTTGTATTTTTAGTAGAGACGGGGTTTCACCATGTTGGCCAAGATGGTCTCGAGCTCTTGACCTCGTGATCCACCCTCCTCAGCCTCCCAAAGTGCTGGGATTACAGGCGTGAGCCACCGCGTCCGGCCTATGAAATTTTCAAACATCTGGAAAAGTTGAAAGAACTTTATAGTGAATACCCATACAACCACCAGCTAGATTCTGTAACTAACATTTCACAATATATATATACCTATATGTATGTGTGTGTATATATATATATATATATATATATATATATATATAGAGAGAGAGAGAGAGAGAGAGAGAGAGAGAGAGAGGGGCAGAGTCTCACTCTGTCATCAGGCACCAGGCTAGAATGCAGTGGCGTGATCTTGGCTCACTGCAACCTCCACCTTCCCGGTTCAAGCAGTTCTCCTGCCTTAGCCTCCCAAATAGCTGGAACTACAGGCACACACCACCACACCCAACTAATTTTTGTATTTTAGTAGAGATGGGGTTTCACCATGTTGGCCAGGATGGTCTCCATCTCTTGACCTTGTGAGCCGCCTGCCTCGGCCTCTCAAAGTGCTGGGATTACAGACGTGAGCCACTGCGCCCGGCCTCGTTTCACTATATTTTTATTATGCATCTCATCCATTCATCCCTCTCTCCATTAAAAAAAAAAAAATACATGAAAAAGTAAGTTGCAGATATCGGTACATAAACATTGATTTTTAAAAAAGAAATTCCCTTTGGCTTTAGTTATTGAAGTTCAGAATGCCTTATACTGCAAAATTCCAGTGTATAAATAAGTGAACAAATGCAAAAACAAATGCCTTCTCATGACTTCATCATAAAATGAAGTACAAAGAAAGCCATCTTTTGATTTATTTTTTTTTTAAGAGACAGGGTCTCACTATGTTGCCCAGACTGGAGAGCAGTGGCTATTCACAGGAGTTATCGTAGTGCACTGTGGCCTGGAACACCTAGCTTCAAGCAGTCCTCCCACCTCCATCTCCAAAGTAGCAGGGACTATAGGCAGGTGGGCCTTGATTTGATCTTTTTCTTGTATTCTGCAAATGGATGAGAACATGTTCTGATTTTTTTTTTTTTTTTTTTTTTAATTTTTAGAGATGGGGTCTTGCTCTGTCACCTAGGCTGGAGTGCAGCAGCATGGACATGGCTCAGTCTACCTCGACGGCCTGGGCTTGAGCAGTTCTCCTGCCTCAGCCCCTCAAGTAGCTGAGACTACAGGTGTCTGTCACCACACCCAACTAATTTTTGTATTTTTTGTAGAGATGGAGTTTTGCCATGTTGCCCAGGCTGTTTTCAAACTCCTGAGCTCTGGCAACCCACCCACCTCAGCCTTCCAAAGTATTTAGATTACAGGTATGAGTCATTGTGCCCGGCCATGTTTTAACTTTCTTAACGTTTGTCGGGTATCATTATAGTCAGTTCTTTTTCTTACTTTACATTTGGATAAACTTCATATTAAGCTTCATAATGGCACCTCCATCTGTAAAATCTTTGCTTATCTGTAAAATTTTGTTCTTTTTGTCTATGCCCAAGAATAGGCAGAGGTCTTAGAACTTAGTATTTTTAATTCATTGATAACTGAGGGATGGTAAAACCCTAGGTGATGTGTGCTATTTTGACATGTGTACATATACATACAGCTGTGTCACATATTTCTTAATTATTTGGGACTTAGCATGATCCAGATACCCACAGAGGTATATTCTTGGGAAATACAAAAAGATTAGTGGTCACTGGCCAGGCATGGTGGCTCATGCCTGTTATCCCAGCACTTTGGGAGGCTGAGGCGGGCTGATCACGAGGTCAGGAATTCAAGACCACCCTGGCCAGTATGGTGAAACCCTGTCTGTACTAAAAATACAAAAATTAGCTGGGCATGGTGGCACGTACCTGTAGTCTCAGATACTCAGGGAGCTGAGGCAGGAGAGTTGCTTGAACCTGGGAAGCTGAGGTTGCAGTGAGCCCAAATCAGGCCACTGCACTCCAGACCAAGTGACAGAGCGAGATTTCATCTAAAAAAAAAAAAAAAGACTAGTGGTCATATTAAATATAAATGATTACAGTAAGTTTAATTCCCAAAAGTCATTAGTTATAAGAAAGCTAGATTTGGGTTTGTGTGGTTAATCTACACGTGATACAGGAGAAACTGAAATCCTACATAGCAATAGCAGGTCCCAATTAGGGGTTTATTATTGCTTAGTTTTCCTTTTTTCGTTCTTTTTTTTTTTTTTTTGAGATGAAGTCTCACTCTGTTGTCAGGCTGGAGTGCAGTGGCACAATCAATCTCAGCTTACTACAACCTCTGCCTCCCAGGTTCAAGCAATTATTCTGCTTTAGCCTCCCGAGTAGCTGGGGCTACAGGTGTGCACCACCACACCCATCTAATTTTTGTATTTTTAATAGAGACGGGGTTTCACCATGTTTGCCAGGATGGTCTCAATCTTTTGACCTCATGATC